CAAGACGGCCCCGGGGCACCCTGTGTGAAGCGTGAGCAGAGGGCATACCAGACCCACCCACGGATTCTGAACTGCATGCCCTGTCCTCAGTCCCACAACCAGGAGGTGCATTCTCAGATTCAAAGAGCTAAAACTGAGGCTCCAGTGCAAACCAGGCCAGGCTCCCCCGTACTGCCTTGAAACTCCTGCCCCAAGGTAAAGAGGACCAGGAGCTCTGACAGGCTCTGTTCACACCAGTGACCGATGACGCCCCATCTGTCCATGGCTAAAGGAAGGGAAAAACACACAGGAGGCAGAGTTTGGTGGTTCTGACCCAACTCCCAGGCCTAAATGCACTCAGGTACCCTGCCCTCCTAGAGCGCCTTATGGCCAGTGCCCTGTAAGCTGCCCCGCTGTCCACTGACAGCCCTGCCTGCCCCGGCTCCAAAGCCAGCCCTGGACCCTTCGCCACAGCACCACGTCCCGGGGACTGCTGAGAGCTGCTGCACCAGGCGCGTTATCAACATCATCCCGCTGAACCCTCAAGCGGCCCCACAGACACTCTCTGTTGTGAGACAGGAATTTCAGCGCAGCACCTGAGCACACCCGCATAAAGCTAACAAGCAGACTCCTCGCAACCCTGGAAACCAAAGTCCTGCACTGAGAGTTCCAGAAGCTTCTTGCCTCTACAAACTCCAGTCCCAAGACCAGGATGCAGCACAAGTGCCACCGCAGGGCTTCCAGCCTCCAGTCCTAAGAGTGCAGAAACATTCAGAAAGAAATTTCAGTCCCGCTCACAGCAGCGTTTGGAACTGTGCTTCACCAGTAAAAGGGGCCAACACCGTAGCTCGATGCTGGGAAAATTCCTTCTGGCTCCAGGCTGGTTGGTGGCCCAGTAGCTAACTCCGAGATACGGTGTCATTCTATCTTCCTCAAACGAGGCAGGGGATGGCTTCCGACTCGGCATCTGCTCACTGCCAGATGATCTGTTTCCTGCACCGGCTTTCACCACAAGTTCCCATCAGACCCTCCCTTGGCTGCCTTCCCTGCATCGGAACTCTTCTGGGTGGGAGAGTCCGGGCTCCTCCCTGAAACAGGCTGGAATGCTACTGCAGTAACTATGGAGAGAAACTGATGCAAACTTAAACAAAGGCAGCAACGGCAGGAACTCCGCAGAGAAGCCCGACCCACAGGACCTGCCGAGGTACCTGCTGGCTTCTGGCTTCACGGACGTGGACATGTGTCACACTGGTGAAAGGAACACCGAGTCACCAAGACAGCGACTGCGGGAAGGGCGCTCTGTTCCGCACATCAGATCAGCAGAGGAGGAGGTTACACAACGCCCGGGAAGTGAGACAAGACTGCGCGATGCAGGCCGCTCACAGGCACGCTACGCTGGCTGATAGGCAACATTCATCTTCTAAAAGCCAAGCTCCTGAAAACAGGCACACGACTGACCCAGCCGTCACTTCAGAAGCTCGGCCTGAGGCACCAGCATTCTGAGATGCTGCCACACGAGCCACGCCAGCGGCACCATCACAGCAGCACTGCCCCAGAGAGGGAGCACCGGGCACTGGGCAGCGAGGAACAGGGCACTGCCCCGGAGAGGCAGCACCGGGCACCGGGCTAGCGAGGAACAGGGCACTGCCCCAGAGAGGCAGCACCGGGCACCGGGCTAGTGAGGAACAGGGCACTGCCCCAGAGAGGTAGCACCGGGCTAGCGAGGAACAGGGCACTGCCCCGGAGAGGCAGCACCGGGCACTGGGCAGCGAGGAACAGGGCACTGCCCCGGAGAGGCAGCACCGGGCACTGGGCAGCGAGGAACAGGGCACTGTCCTGGAGAGGGAGCACCGGGCACCAGGCTAGCAAGGAACAGGGCACTGCCCCAAGAGAGGAAGCACCGGGCACTGGGCGAGGAAGAGAGCACTGCCCCAGAGAGGGAGCATCGGGCACTGGGCTAGTCAGGAACAGGGCACTGCCCTGGAGAGGGAGCACCGGGCACTGGACGAGGAACAGGGCACTGCCCCGGAGAGGGAGCACAGGGCACCGGGCTAGCAAGGAACAGGGCACTGCCCCGGGAGAGGAAGCACCGGGCACTGGGCAGCGAGGAACAGGGCACTGCCCCGGAGAGGGAGCACCGGGCACTGGGCGAGGAACAGAGCACTGCCCCGGAGAGGGAGCACCGGGCACTGGGCAGTGAGGAACAGCGCACTGCCCCGGGAGAAGGAGCACCGTGCACTGGGCTAGCGAGGAACAGGGCAGCAGAGCCGCACCCTGAGAAGCTCCTCAGATGGCAAAAACAGCGTTCACTACCAAGGAGAGATGGACACGGCCAACTTGGTACAAACCGCAGAGGAGAGCACGCGTCGCCACGAGCACATGCCCACCGGTCTGTAGAGACAAGGGAAAATGCCCGGAAGCTGCCCTCATGACCCGTGACCTCAGCTGGACCAGGGCTCTTTCTTCAGTGACTACAAGCTACATTCAATGAGAAACAAACAAAAGCGACTTTAAACTGAGGCCCGCCTGGCAAAGCCCTCAGGGATCTGGGCCACCGTGGCCTCACATCTTCTGCATGCCGTCTCCTTCACGCTCACCGTGGCCTCACATCTTCTGCATGCCGTCTCCTTCACGCTCATCTGAATTTCTGTCCAACTGCCTGTAAGAGACTTGTAGAAATGTGCTCAGCTGTTCAACCGTGCAAGGCTCCCTGACCCCGCCATGGCAGGCCACGACGAACAGTGTCCCGCCACCTAAGAGAGCAGCAGCCCAGGGGACAGGCCAGAACTCAAGCGCCAAGGCCACGACTGGACTCATCCACACCTCAGTGGCCACCGCCAGCACCGCCTGTCCTAGGGTATGCCTCCTTCCCGGGCCTGGAAGTGCACAAAAGGGCCAGGCACTCAGTGTCACCAGGCCCCAGAAAGCCTTGGTCGGGAAGTGTCCACCCACCAGCAAGCAGCAACACTGAGACCCGGGGACGGTTAGTGCCCAGGCATGGCTCAGGAGGCTCAGACCTGACAGCAACCCAGTCGTTACTGCCAGTACCTTTCGGTTCACAGAGATGAAGAGAGGACCAGGTGCCTGCCCAAGTCACATGACCAGCAAGGAGCAGACCAGCCGCCCCCCAGGCCCTGCAGGCAAGAGGGACCGGGAACTCCAGCCTCACGCCCAGAGGCCTCCCGCGCCTCTCCACTGCCCCATCTCAGGGAAGCGTCTCCAGCGCTCCTGGCAGTGGGTGGCAGGGGTGTGACCAGCCCCATCTGAAGCCTGCACCCTGGCTGAAGAAGCCCACACAGGGCAGTAAGCCACAGATGGGACGGAAGCCAGCACACCGACACACACATGAAACCCAGCTGGGAAACACCTGTGAGAACCCAGGATTTCAGGGCAGCTTCTCCCTTTGGCCTCCCAGACCGGAGCAGTACTAAGGACCTCGTCTCAACCCCAAGATCCCATTTCACAGAAGAGGACGGAGCACCAAGCACTTCCATGGGGGTGCCCCAAGACTCATCCTTCCCCAGGGCAGGCGCTCCAGCTCTAAGAGGGAGCCCACAGGTCCTGAGAGGCCAGCCACAGCTGGGATTGTGAGGACCACCTGCCCACTGTAGAGGCTGCTCCCTGAGGCAGAGACCCCATTCCCAAACCAATTCCCCCATGGGCTCAATCCACATCTGTGACCACGGCGAAGGCAGCACAGACAGCCAGCAGATGGGAACGTTCCCTTCCGTGTGGCACTGGACACAGAGACGGGCCTGCTGCTGCTCTTAAGACAAATAATTTCAGGAAGCACCTCCCTCTTTGGTGGGAGAAAAGTATAGCCAAGTTTCCTTTCCTTTAATAGTTCATTCTGTTTCATTTCCAAAGTAAAATGATGAGGATCGCCTGGTAAAATGTGAAAGCTTTAACTTCAAATCACTTTTAATGCCTGTTTCATCTGACAGTGGCTTTGAAAGCAAAAGGCAATCTTTATCATTTGAGGTTTTTCAGTAAATTGATATGATTATGTCCAACACACCCAGATGCTTCGAAAAGCCAATTTTCAAAGTGACATCAGCCCCCAAAATAAGAAACCTCCTTCTGCCTATTAATAAATTATTAAAACACTCTCTCCACAGGAGGACGAGGCTGAGCTTGATCATCAACGGCAAACAGGTGGGCTTCAGGCCCTCCACACAGACCCACGGCCTGGTGAGCTGTGCAGGGCACAGAGCTCCCCTGCGACCCCGTTGCACGGCCCTTCCCTCCGCCCCACTGCCCACCAGGCCCATGGGTTCCACCGGACGGGGCTCAGTCCCCCATGGTAACTCCATCTTCTGGTCAGGGGAAGGCATAAGACCCCTTTTTAGCCAAGGAGGCATAAGGGGCACTTGCTGGCAGTGGGGGTCCTAGGAAAGGCTTCCTTGTGCAGAAAGATCCAAGAAAGAGGCTTCTCCTTTTTGCCTCTGTGTGTGATGTCAGAGGTATGGCCCCTCACAGCCACGAGTGAAACCAGAGAAGAGCCGGGGTGTGGGATAAGAAGAAACACATGTCTGATTGTCATCCCAGGTTCCCTGAAGCCCTTGGGATTTCCTGAGTGACGGGCATGTCTCTTGCTATTCATAGTTAGCCGCTTCCAATCACACCTGCATTCACCCTGACATGAAGACTCAGGGTGGGCCCGCTAGTGATGGACGGGCTGGTTCCCAAGACCACATGAGGCCCCACCCTGCTGGGAAGACGAGAACCCTCCTGATCCAAGGAGGGACCCCACAACAGGAGGCCAACCCCCAGACCCCATGGCAGTTTAGCACATTGTCAGAATGACAGACAGTGGTGCCTCAGCTGAGGCTCACAGCACATGGTGGAAACATGGGGCAAACCCTTCCCTCAAATCCCTGCTGCCTCTTCCCATCCCAGACCAGGGCCACCCACACGGTGAAGCACCGCCGTGCCCCGAGAGCCAGGGGGCACACACTCTCACTCGCCCCAGCTCTCCAAAGCAAACACATCCCACAAGCGCCCTGGGCGGCCGGGTCTACCTGCTGGTGACAGCGCTGTTCTTGTCCTTCAAGGCAAGCTCCCTCTGCTGCAGCTCAACCACGAATCTGGAAAGGTCTTCTGGAGTCCTGCAGGATAAAGAAGGCACACTCAGTTCCAGCTGTCCCCCAGAGTAAACCTGATTCTGCACACCAAACACGGCCAAAAGGAACCTCTGTAGCTGCTGCTCTGGGACCCAGGATGTGCGGACTCTGCGGACCCGGGTCCAGGGCAGCACGCACTCACTACGACGGGTCAGCCACAGCCCCCACCCTATGCAATGTCGGGGAGACGGCCTTAGTAAGCCCCGATTTTATTTCACCTGTAGAAACAGAGACACTACCTAACAGTGTCGCTCTTCAGAGGAAATGAAATCATGTTTAAAAAGCACCCACCAGGCACCTGGCACAGAGGAGGTGCTCAGCGAGTTTTAGAGTTTTAGGTTCCTTTCCTCACCTCTCCAGAAGACCCACACATAACAACAAGAGGAAAATCAGAGATCCCAGGTGTAGCGCTTCCTACTTTCCAGAACGATTGCAGATTGTCTCAGCGAATGCCTGAGGAACCCTGTTGTTCACCGTTTCCATTTTTTAAATGAGGAAACTCAGACTCCAACGTGAAACAGCCACTTCAAAGTTCAACGTGCACCGCAATGATGAGCAGCAGCCTGAGCCATGTCTTCTAACTCAGCGCTGGGACTCCGGAGCATGCAGCAAGGATCTGAGCCGGGCATGCAGTTACACCAGTGGTGTGTGAGCGTTCCCAGCCTCACAACCTGGGGCACAAAGCCAAGGCTCCCTGGCTAGACTGAGCAAGTGGCATGTGAGCCCGGGCCCAAGGCCCCATCCTCGTTCTTCTCTTCACCTGTCATGGACCAAGCGCAGGTCCACACAGAAAGCAGGTGCCGGGCAATGCTGTGACAGCCCCGCCCAGCCCCACTCAAGGAGCTGGTACTGCACCACTGAATGAGCAACAGGGACCCCAACATTGGCCAACGAGGCTACCTGCACCCCTGGAAGGAGAGGTCCCAGTCACTCTGTCAGCCAGGCCCCCAGAGCAGCCTCGGGTGGATCCTGGGCACACCCTCCCAGCAGCTTGCCAGGGAACTCCTCTCTGCGAGTCAGCCAGAGCCACGCAGAGGCACACTGCAACCACGGACCCCTAACAGAAGCCATCCTATTGACTAAAACGCGCACGCTGCAAACCTCACGCGCTGGGCCCGGCCCTCTGCCCTGAGACAGCCACTGACGTTTCCTGTCACTTAGCACCCTGCCCATGGGGCCCCGAAACCCTGCATCAGCTCATCCAGTGCTCACACAGCCCCTCCCCTGGGCTTCCAGCGCCCAGCTCCTCCTCCAAACACAGAGAAAGAGCCACTTCCCTATAAAGCCTCTGGCCACCCCCGCGCCCCTCACCATCCCATGCCTGTTTTGCAGGACATGGAGGACAACTGGAGCCCGCCTTGCTCAGCATTAGTTTTGAGTTTCTGGGGCATCTTCCATCTCTGGAACGAAGCTACCAAGAGCCTGTGAGCAGATGTCCTGCAGCCTGGCCCAGGCCCTGAGCCCTCACACACACCCAAGGTCAGTCCTAAGCCCTCCCTCTGACCACAGCTTCTTCACACAGAGTACACCATGGCCTTCTCTCTTCCAGGTCCCCTCAGAGAGGTCTCCTCTGCCCACCCAAGGAACGGGCCCCTTCCTGGGCGTCTAGTGGGGATAGCGATGGGTGCAGAAGGAGTAGCTGGCACCAGGGAGACCCCATCTGTCCTCCCACACACAGGTAAACCGGGGTTAGAAAGCAGCTCCGTGGAAAAACCATTTATGACTGAAAGGTCTTGGAAGAGAAACTGAACTCTATGAGGGAGATGAAAGGTGGAGCTGGCCTTGAACGCCGTTACCATTCTCTCCAGAGTTTCCCAAAGCTTCCAACCTCGGGGAGTTAAAAATATCAGTACAAAAGTAAGGAAACCAGGCTGGGCGCGGTGGCTCAAGCCTGTAATCCCAGCACTCTGGGAGGCCGAGATGGGCGGATCACGAGGTCAGGAGATCGAGACCATCGTGGCTAACACGGTGAAACCCCATCTCTACTAAAAATACAAAAAACTAGGCCGGGCGCGGTGGCTCACGCCTGTAATCCCAGCACTTTGGGAGGCCGAGACGGGTGGATCACAAGGTCAGGAGATCGAGACCATCCTGCCTAACACGGTGAAACCCCGTCTCTACTAAAAATACAAAAAATTAGCCAGGCGAGGTGGCGGCGCCTGTAGTCCCAGCTACTTGGGAGGCTGAGGCAGGAAAATGGCGGGAACCCGGGAGGCGGAGCTTGCAGTGAGCTGAGATCCTGCCATCACTCCAGCCTGGGCGACAGAGCGAGACTCTGTCTCAAAAAAAAAAAATACAAAAAACTAGCCGGGCGAGGTGGCGTGCACCTGTAGTCCCAGCTACTCGGGAGGCTGAGGCAGGAGAATGGTGTAAACCCGGGAGGCGGAGCTTGCAGTGAGCCGAGATCCGGTCACTGGGCTCCAACCTGGGTGACAGAGCGAGACTCTGTCTCAAAAAAAAAAAAAAAAAAAAAGTAAGGAAACCTTTCCAAGCCAAGAGATATTTTTTCTGAAACATTTGAATGAGATATTTAAGTTGTTTTGCATTAGTCAAAGGGCCTGTAAATTTTCACTAACTCGGTGGGAAGAATTTATTTACAAATAAATAAAAATCGCGTATGTCCACATCTGCAGTGGCGCCCCCCAGCCCCTGTGCCCAGAACCAGCAGCAGGTAGGGTGGTCACAGGCGGCAGGCTACAGGCTCCGCCTACACAGCCAAGACCACCCACCTCACACCTCTCAGGGCCCCATCACTGGACCTGAAACAGCAGGAGGCCAGTGGAGAGGCATCTGTCAGGCAGGACCAGGCCCCAGGGTTCTCCCAGCTGGGATGGCTCTCTCTCACCAGAGGGCACACTGCCTGCTATCTCCCTCTGTGGGGAAGCCTCCCTGCAGCCTACAGAGCAGGAGGCAGAGTCGGGAGCATCCGACACCGATTTAGAAACAAGCTTCTTGCCCCAAAGCACGAACCCACTCAGCAAAGCTGGGAGCTGGGTAAGATCTCGGAGGGCCAGGCTCTGCTAACCACGCTCTGCAATTCCCAGTGACGCCAAGACCATGATAAATACAACCATTTAGCAATGAGGGAGAAATGGGACGGGTTCAAACAAACTGGAAAGTGAGAGTGACACAGCCCTCTTCTGAAGTGCTGGGCTCCCACAGACGACACCCAGGAAGGCCTCTGTCTCATGTCATTGGGGTCAACGCCTCATTCTGGCATGGATGGGCCACATCAGAAACCTGAGTACTCTGAAGCCTGGGGGCATCCATCTCAACCACCCAGGGAGCAGGCTGGCTCCACATTCCCACAGACTCCGCAGGAGGCTGCTTCCGGGTGGCTCCTCCTGCCTGAGGGGGTGTGTCCTGGGGCTGGTCCTGCCCCAGGCAGGAACAGAGAGCTCGGCTCGTCCTGAGGAAGAAGGCTGGCGCCTCCGGCGGATGGCCCCACACAGACCCCAGCCCTCAAGAGCACTGACACGTGATGGGCTCTCAGCCTGGATACTCGCTGGCCACATCCCTAGGCCCCCAGATCCCTGGTGCCGCCTCTCAGTCCCCATGCGACCAGGCCTCTATCACAGGGAGGACTGAAGCTGCAGGGCTTGCTATTCCAGAGCCCTCCAACCACAGGGGTGGTGTGCCCAACACCTCCCATGGGCAGAAGCCACTGGAGGGCACAGGGGCACCAGGAGGAATTCCTCCCTTCACAGCCTCTTGCACTGAAAAACCCACAGTCACTACTTTGGCTAAACCAAGCCTCGTGAGCACTGTCTGGCCATTCTTGCTCATGACCAGGGTTCAGCTTCCACTCAAAAGCACAAGCACAGTGAGCTCGATGACAGCGTTCAAGAACGTCACATGGGACCAGTCTACTCTACTTGAAGAGACAGAGGGAAGGCCAGGAAATCCTTAAAGGAAAAGGAGATGGACCCGCGGGAGAAAACCTGGGTCTCAGCCCCAGCCCTGACCCCTCCAGGCTGAACCCTCTACCTGCTTCGCTGGGCTTCCTAAGGCTCATTTCCAAAACCCCAGGGCACAGGCATAGTGCACTGTTACCTGACAACCCCTGCACTGTTAACTTGATGGACGTGGAAGGGACAGGGAGGATGTTTTAAGGGTGTGCAATCCAAGCCCATTTTCACACTGGCATTGCGAGGCCAGGAGAGGACATGCACCCTGGAGGCGGTGTCTGGATGTCGCCGTGGACATGAGGAGAACACGCTTCAAGTACAATCATCAACCAACATGTTAAAAGTATACCCTTGGTTCGGCAGTGTCATCAAAAGAAAATGTGCTCCCTATATACAAACACCAACTGGAGATCGATTACAGGCTAAAACCTCAGACCCGAAAATATAAAATTACTAAAGAAAACAAGGAAAACACTCATTGGTCTAAGCAAAGTTTTTATAGCTAAGACCTCAAAAGCACAGGCAACAAAAACAAAAATAGACAAACAGGACTATATCAAAGTAATAAGCTTCTGCCCATCCAAGAAAACAAGAGACTGAAGAGACAGCCTCCTGAATGCGGGAAAATATCTGTCAACTGTTCGGCCAGTAAGGGACTAACATCCAAAATACAACTCAAAAAGAACTCAAATAACAACAATTGAAAAACGTAAATAGTCCCATGAAAAAGTAGGCAAAGGACACATTTCTCAAAGGACGACATGCAAATGGCCAACAGGTGTATGAAAAAATGCTCAACATCACTAATCATCGGGGAAATGTAAATCAAAACCACCTTACCCCAGCTTCAAATGGCTATGAAAAAGACCAAACACACACACAGATGCTGGTGAGGATGCAGAGGAACGGCAACTCTCAGCTGCTGTTGGAGGGAATGTAAATTAGTACCACCACTATGGAACCCAGAATGGAGATTTCTCAAAAAGCTGAAAACAGAACGACACTCTATGATCCAGCAATCCCACAACGGGGTATTTACTCAAAGGAAATCACTGTATCAAAAAGATACCTGCACTC